CCTAGCCTGAAATCCTGGTTACGCCGCTACTTACCTATGACAAGGATAATTAAAGAGAACTAGGTTATATTTTGATCCACGATCTAATTGATCCACAAATAGAGCTTTATCTTCCGATCACACTGATGATACTTCGAGGTTTTCAGATATGGGCAAAACCAGCCAGCGATCACCTACGCATGGGGAGGGTTCGAACTCAAAAGTAGAGAAAGCTGAGTTTAGCATTGAAAAGAGCATGATCAACAGTGTATGAAATGAAAACGTTTCTGTTCCTGTGCAGCTTTAAATGTCTCAGACACCCGAAATTTTTCTTAGGATTATTAACTCGAAAATTTTTGTGAAAGATAGTAGTGGAATACGTCATTAAATAAACACAAATGAATAGAATAAAATTCTTCAATTATATATGAAGCGATTGAATACGAAGTACTCTTTCCACACATAGCCTTTATACAAATGTTAGATATCCACGAAACAAAATGATGCTTCCACAAACCATCTCCATTTTTAATGAAATTCCGTAACGAAACTTGCTTATAATGTGTTTTGCTCGCTAATTGTTGCAATCTTAACGACACCTACAGATAGAACTCAACGAGCTCTATCGAATACACTTATTTTCAGTGTAGTTTGATTTACTTTCCTCATCTGTTTCCTATAAATACTGCGTTACGGAATTTCATCAGTATCCGAAAATCGTAGTGGGTTTTTAGACTATTGAATGTTTCATGCTGTTTTTGTTCATAGATACACATATATTTGGTTATATTTGGAATCAGCATCGAATTTTGAACAAAATGGAGTATTTAGTTTTTCAAAATTTAAACTTTAATTTTTTTCGAAAATTTCCCGGGCCGAAAAAAGCGAAAATTTTTTTTTTACTGGATTCTAATAAAAAACATACCATTTGGTGCAGAATCGAACTTTGAGAAGGTTTATATGGTTGGCTTTGATATTTTTTGATTTTATCCCAGTCCAAACTTCGATTTTTGAAAAAAGGTTGAAATTCCGTAACGCATGAAATTCCGTAACGAACAGTATTTTTAGTTTTTTATTCAATGCGTTTAGGTTTGTTCAAAACTAACTTTATGTTCTAAAAGCTTGTGGAAAACTGAACAACTTTTATATAGACGGTTTATTTGCATGTTTCTTGATTTCGTAGTAAAATGCTAAACATTCAACTCACCCTTAAAAAAATTCCATTTTTTGAAATTCCGTAGCGGTCGATGGATTTTGAATAGCTCAGGTTTGACCAAACGAAAATGAACAAAATTTTTACTCTTAATAGACCATCATAGTCTCCATCTATGGTAAAACTTTCGGAGAGTTTGCTTTGATCTGCGAGGAGATATTGTTGTTGCAATGCAAAGAAATTGAAATTCCGTAACGCTGGTTTGACCCATATGGAGAACTTGAATGTGTACTGCACTTCCATCGAAATACTATTAGTTGTGCAGTGACCAATAGAAATGAAGTTATAGGAAAAACGGCTTTCTTAGGGTAAATCAAGGGAAAGAGTTCAAACTTGAGCTGTATTCGGTCCCATGTCCTATTGGCTTGGCAACGCGCAATAGAAATCAACATTTTAAATGGTAGATTTCACAGTATAATTTTGATATTCAGACAGTCTAGGATGATTGATTTGTATTATTCACTTTTTGAAGTACACATAACTCTCGGATTTAAATTCGAAGTTTCCGCATTTATTTTTTGTATTTGTGATGTTATAGGGTGCTCAGAGATAGGTTAGAAACAAAAAAAATAAAATAAAAGGAGAAAAATACGATAATATAATGTTAATGACATCGAGAGAGAAAATTAGATAAGAGAAGTTGAAAAAAAAGCAAGATCAGTGTGTATGGTATCATTTGTTGATATGATTTGTTTGTTTAATTATTTTTATTAACTTTTAATCATATTTCTAACAAAGATTTATATTTCTTTTTTGAATTCTTACACATATCTTTGTTGAAAATAATATCCTAGTTCATCATTATTTCTTTTATTTCTTTTTTTTTAATTCACTCTAGAATGAAATATCATTGAAGAAGAATAAAGTTGAAAGATTTGATTTAGAGATTTTTTTTTTGAAACTCTTTTTCTGATATAATTTTTAACATAATAATCTAAATCTTTTTCATTGGTACAGAAATGCAACTCTCAATCTGCAACTACCTATAGATATCGATGGATTAATCTTAGACATACTCTAAACTTTTGTCGAAGCAATTCTTGTTGAGTATACTGAAGAAAAAGGGCAAAAAGGTAGAAAAGTCAAATAAAAAATGAGAATGAATATGTGGAAAAAGCATTATCTAAATAGACTAATGAAAATAATTCTACTATGTTTCAACCATTTCAGTTTTGTGTATGATTGTTGAATCTTTTCTAAACAATTTGTGCATGGACAATTTAGTCGTTCACACACACACACACATATATACATGACTGCAATTTACAGCTGCTCGTATGTCTTTAGTTTTCCCCTTTTTTCAAATATCTCTAAGATAGCTTTTCGGCCTAGTCATATGTGCTTTTGTAGAGAATTTCAAGCGCTATCTTTTGGTAATAAAAAGGGCTTTAATTACAGGAATAATAAAGAAAAAATCTTAAGAACACTGAGAGATCCATTTTTCCTGAGATACCCGATAATATGTTTTTGATGCACTTATAAACTACTTTTTTATTTATGAAAACTTAGTTTTGTTTTCTTTTTGTAAAATAAAATTCAAAAATTTAATTAAATGATTCCAGTCTTTGATTAATCGATTTTTCATTAGATTTGTCCGGATGCAAATATTCTCATGATTGCTTTCCTGAAAAATAAAGAATATCAATCAATTATTATATAATTAATCAAAGATGATTTACGTGTAATTAAAGGCAAGGTTTCACCATGAAAATATTTCATTCGATGTTTTGGTGATTTGTCGGAGCAATTATTCTGTTTACGACATGGAAGAAGATAATCAGGTAAGTTTGTGTGACGATATCTTGCACGATGAACAGGATCACCTTTTTCTAAACAATATTTATCTTTTGCACATTTAAGAACATTATGACGTTCATGCGTGCGATAAGGCTCTTTGGTTTTTCTCGTACATAATTCAGAAAAAGGACAAGGATGGGAATATAGTTTAGCATGCTTTGATGAGTTTTGTAGTAAACAATATACGGAATGTTGACAGGGTTTTAATACCGGAGAAGCATCATCTAATGCCTTTGGTTCAACTACATTCGTACGACGGCATAAAAGTATGTCTCCCATTCGTTTGAACCCAAATGAGGTATCTACAAATGGCAGTGGATTGATTGCCGATGGCCGCTGCTTTTTTGATTGATTAATAGTAGGAGCACTAGGGTTGGCATAAGAAGATGTAAGTAGACATCTTTCTATTAGATTAGATGTATCATTTTTGAATTGAACGTCGACTGGTGGATGTAGTTGTGGTATCTGTTCAAAATTAATTGTTAAATTTCGTACAGGAACATCTTCAGTTCCAGCGCTAAGATGAATATAATCTAATTTCGACAGATCCAAATCAGCTTTCTTAAATTGACATTCAATCTTCTCACGATTATAAATACTATTTGGTCCCGCATGAGTAAGTGTTACTTGACCTGTTCTATGACCGATTTTTAGACAAAAAGTTAAGTAATCATCGGTATTACAACCACGATAGAATGTGTTCGATTTAGCTTTAAACCGAGCTGCATTAACATTGTTACCATGTTGATAGGGTACACCATCGTTTAAATATGAAAATACTTCATGATATTCTCCAGTCGTCGTCGATGGCGTCTGCGCAATATAACATATAAGACATCGTAGATTGAATTGTTCTGCACCTGGCTCAATTTTTTCATTGGCAGTTGTTAACATCATATCACCATTCATTGCTTGCCAATAGATGTATGTAAATTCATGACCATCTTCTGATTGAGGTTTGTCTAGATGATATAAATAGTGTGCTTGAGAAATAGTGATTGGTAAAATAATATGTTCTCCGAAATCGGATGCAGCTACTGTAATAACTATGCCTCGTGAGATATGAGGCGTGCTCATTCGATGTTTGATTGCTTCATTGAGCTCTTGAAACGCGTATTTTGAATAAGGATACTCAAGAATCTCTTTTAGAGTATCACCTGTCTTGTTTTCGTCACTTTCATATATGCTTATTCTAAGTGAATCTTTAAAAGCTTCTTTAGCTGATTCTTGAGCTTCATGTGTCATGGATTCAAATACATCTTTTGGTATATAGACACGATCGATATAATCTAATGGAATGAGTTGCGGTAAATGAGCTTCTAATGTTTGATGGGAATCAACACTTATCCACTTTTGAAGTATAGCTTCAATATTGACATTCATTGATTGATGATCCAGCCCTGCTGAAGCAACTAATTCTGTAGCTGTTGCATATTCGTAACGATGAACAGAACAATGTAGTTTTGAATTATGAAAGTGGTCAATACGTTTTTGCTCGATTTTCGAATCTTTCAGCCATGGCCGATGCTTATAAATTTGTCCTTTAAAAAAACTAGTTCCGGCCTGAATGGTAAAATTAGCATCAGGATGAAACATGATTTCCTGTTTGAATGTAATAACAATATCGCCATAATAAAAACCAAGATGCGGTCCTAGTATACTAAACACATGTTGATCTGTTCCTAGTTTTGGATCGACCTCGTACCCGATTCCCATTGGAATATTACTTAACTTAATTGATGCTTGCGCAATTTTTGTTGTCCATTCATGAATCACTTGAATATTTCTATTACTAAGAGGTGGTTGCAATCTTTGCTCCATCGTATGGATTCTTTGATCATAATCAGAATCTGATGTAAATTTTCCTTTTGATTTTGCCTTTGCAAATTCAATATCGATCAAAATTTCGATCAATTTACTCATGTTTTCTTTTACTACTGGAGTATTATATCGAAGAAATATTGAACGCACTTGACTATGTTGTTGCACTGCTCTAACTACATTTTCAGGTTTATTTAATAAGCTCATATAACGACGACTCATAACATGTCCGAGAACAAGAATCGATTCAAAAATCTCTTTTCGGCAACGATGTACAGGTTGTAATGCACGTATCCAGTTGAGTATTTCTTGGGAAATCTTTGCTTTCTCCCAATTCATTCTGTCAATGTAAGTATTCACAGTTTTAATTAATTGACTTTGATTACGAGCAAAATTGATCAATGAGTTCAGATTACTAGATGGAGCAACACTAAAATGGTCATGATTTTCATTATGTCGATATTTTTTGAAATGCAAATCGTCAAATCTATTTGAACATTGGTAACCTGGTATCTTGCATAACAGACGAATATCTCGTATATCAGGATGAGAATATGATTCTAAATGATCTTCATGTGTAAGTTTCGAGCATTTATTATCATCGGGACAAAGTTGACGAGCAATATGAATTGATATTTCGAAATGAATTTCTTCCGTATTTTTGCAGTAACGACCATAAGGACAAATGTGTGAATAGTCAAAGCAATGACTTTCTACTTCTTCAGAAATGCCTTTTGAATCGCTTGTTTGAACGAATTCAATATATTTTAAACAATTGTACGGTGTGAATGGACATGGTGGTCGAAATGAATGTATGAAATTAGCCAAATGTTCCTTATTATGCAAATTAATACAACAGTTATCATCAGAACAAACAGGTTTACAATGACGAAATGCTTTCGAATGATCATAATCTCTTCGCCGATATTTTTGACACTTAAGACCATCTGGACAAATAGATATATGCCGATAAGCTAGTAAGTGTTTCTTAGTCATATTTGTACAATCACCACCGTGCTCACAAAACTCTGGATGATCAAATTGTAAAAGATGTAATGGACTATTATCATTACATTGGCCACCATACTTGCATTTGGTATTATGTGTAAGTGTATATGCATGAATATCATCATTCAATTGTTCACAAGATGAAGTTGCCTTGGAGAGTGGACACATTGGTGGATGTGAAAACCGACTTTTATGGTCAGGACTTTGGCAATCGCGACATTTGGCACCATGATGACAAGGTGGAAGAGCTAAAATGCAAACATCACTTAACGTTAATTGTTCATCGTTTAATTTGTCAAGAATCCGATTTGGTCCAATAGCAGCGTTAATACATAAATTTGTTGGTGATGATACAACCAAACCATCGAGTATTTCCTGAAATGGAATTAAATTGCCTTGTGGATTAATTTTATTACCTGTATTATGATCATCAACAATAGCGAAATAAATAGTGTTGAAAAATCCTGCATATTGATAGATAACAGATTTAAAAATAGAAGCTATATGACCAGGCGGGTTCTTAAAAGCACCACAGCCAAAAGCTGATAAAACAAGACAATCATGTTTGTGATGATGTGCAATAGCAAAAATATTTTCAATTTTTTTTTGTGTGGTAGCCGCAAATTTATTTTCTAATGTTCTATTATTTTTTAACTTAGGCTCTCGATGAGCAGCCATTGCAATAGCACAAACATTGTATAATGGAGTTTTCATGAACGCATAACCACTGGATTCCGTTTGTCGAAACACTGTAATACCAGTCGTGTAAATCGCTCCGAATTCATCCATCGGATAGAAACTATCAAGTTTTGATATTTTTGTGAGCTCACATTTATCATTACAATGTAATCGCTCTGATCGATCATTATCGGCTATTTCTATATCAAGACTTTGATAGTAATTTGAACGACGAAAAAGATTTTCTTCTTGTGCTCCATCACCTTTTCGATAACCTCCGCCAGGATTAGTTTTATTAGCCATATTTAGTAATAAAGGTCGACGTCCTTCTGAAACTAATTTCTCATAAATAATAAGACAATCTTCGTTAACTACTTTGACAAATGTCGATGCATATGGTGGCTTTAAATTCTTAACTGAAATTTCGGTTCCAGACGATAGTTTTGATTTGTGATCATAAATAATTGTCTGCATGCGTTCTTGTTTTAATACAATTTCTTCATTATTGACCTTGTAACGCTGCTTTCGAAGAACACCTATCGTGTTTAACATAACAGTTACTCGTAATAAATGTCGATTACGATCATAACCTTTTGGACGTTGTTCTCCTAAGTCTAATTTTCGAAATTGCTGAATCCAATTCTGAGCATTCCATTGGTAATTAAAGATTGGATGCTGAGGATTACTTAACAGTGGCACAATATCTGGCTCGATCTCAAGCATACCTGATTCATACCAGTTCTCAGCATCAATTTCCGTGATTTCTGGATCAATAACAATGGTATATGGTTTAATTTTCATTATGTTATCACCTATCTTGATAACTTCCTGTTTTAAACAGTTTTTATAACTGTCAACATTATCGAGTTCCAGTATGAGATGATCAGTGACATGATCCTGGCCAATGATTCTATTTGCAAATAATGGGTGATTAAAGATTTGATCGAGATTAAAATCACGAGCTACAGGAGAGATCAGAACTCGACAGGTAAATGCCGTTTTCTTTTCTACAGTTTGTCCATCGATTATTAAGAATTTTTCATTTAGCCATGTTTTGGCAGACTTTGATGCTATAATAACTGCGTCACTAGTGTCTTTGTTATATTGTACATATAATGACGTTTCTGGAAGTTCTTTGCCACCATTCTGAGTAATGACAGCAAATCGAAGTTTGATTTCGTTAGTAGTTCGTGGTAAGTCTTCAAAAAGGCTACAATCGGTACGTGGGTATACAGTGGCTAAAATATCATCGATCTGAAAGTTCAGAGAATTGGCAACTTTGACAAGGTCATCAAATGAGTTGAAAATAACATGAAAAATGTTAGGAACTTGAGGAGAAATTGGTTCACAGACGAGATTTTCCATTCCTGTGTACACTTGCTTAAGACGAGAGATAAGTTGTTCAGAAGAAGGAATCTTTGACATGGATATATTTCGATCGAGTACTATATATGAATCAAGTTCAAGTTCATTTACAAACGAAATATTTATGCTACGATGAGGATCAAGAACTGTTGAGTGAATAGTAGAAACAAGATGTGTTTTATCCTCTTCATTTGTCAATCGAATCATAGCTATACCAAGTTTTGAATAGCATTTCACACCAATTATTTTCAGACGAAAAATGGCTTCTAAGCGAGTTTGAATCATTGGTTCAGCAACCTTCTCAGAAATATTTGTTGGCACATCAGGCACGTAGACTAAGATGTCTTTAGTAGTAGATGACATATGAGCAGAATGTTGCTTGTCTTAGGATTAATCTACAATAACAATTTTCAGTGAATTTACAGTCAGATTAATATTGAAACAGCAAATCAATCATAGTATTCAAATTGAATGATTCTCAGTGACCAAAGGAACCTTTGTGAAACAAAAACAAAGAGTTTTGAAGAATAGGAATAGAAATTTGGCCTCTTTCTTCTGTCCCCTAAAACTAGTTACCTATAACACGACAGATTACAACAGACTATCATAAGAATATCACCAACTATGGATAAAACTGAATCACAGATCTGCCATTTACAAATCATTATCGAATCTTTAACATTTTTGTTTCTTCTTTCTAAAAGGATACTCACACAGAGAAAGCGACGAAATACTTTGGAATCAATATGAAGCTCCATTGAAATTACAACATTCATCAATCGTCCTTCTTTAGGATTGACTATGAGATATTATGTTTAATTGTGACACTAGCCTTCCGTGAACTCATAACCGTATTGAAGAAAGTTTGTGGTTGTCTATCTCCACAAGTTCGCATTCTAAACGTTAAATATGAAACTTGAATTCAATTATTCATTTGGCCATTATATGTTTTTTAATTATTGACTGAGTATGGATGTAGGCAAGGAAAAAAAGCGGATTATGTTAGATTCTTATGAATGCAATCGGATTCTAATAGAACCTAGTGAAATGTAGAATACATTATTTGAAGTGTGTCCAGGTGAATAAATCCCACATTAAGATCAATTTTATATTTTTGTACGTTCCTATTCGATCATACAAGATCACACGGAAAATCGTGGTCTCAGATTTCTTACATCGATAATTACAGTAAATATTCCGTACGGTCAATCTCTAGAATCTTGTGACGTCAGATAAATTCATTTCCTAATATTTCTATTGATCTATCAGGGTATGGGTGTGTGCGGGTGTAGATACTCGCTTCAGTGCCATTAACTATTTTAGTACATGCCTATCCATATCGATACAGCATCCTGCCGGTAACATGATGCGAATATCACGATATATATATCCTATTGAGTACATTATGCTACCCATTTACTAATGAGTAAATTATAAAACTATATCTCAATCACTATTCTACTGCACTGATATTCTGTTGTGTGTGTCACTGTATCCGTGCCTCAACGAGTATATCAATGTAACTATACTCTAATGTGTATAGCACGCTACCTATACCCTTATCTGTGTATCGTCTCATCCAACCCTTGATAAGTGTATTACCTACCAATACCCGGATCAGTATATAACGAAACCAATATCAGAGTTGGTATATCACTATACCTTCAGCAATTCCGTTGTTTTTCTCTATTTATGCCAATTTCGAGAGATCATTTCACTTTTTCTTTTACTTCCGTCACTATACCAGTTCCTTTGTACTTTTTAACCTATACATATCTGTCCATAGCTATATACTAGGATTTTTTGTCACTTTGTATTCATGTATATTTAGTGGTGATCAAAGTCTATGGCGATCTCATTAACACTCAGTTATCTTCTTTCGGTTATAAAATCAGTGATTGCCGGTTTCAAAAGGAAGATAGATGACGCCATTTAAGCTCAGCTTCCTTCCTGTGACCTTTTTGCAACGATTTAATCGTTCAGAGTCGTCAAAATGTGTCTTGACCGATTACAGCACAAACAGAAATGAATTAAACTGTAATTTATATGAAATGA